AAATGTGGGGGGCGGTTTGAGGAGCAATGAGGGTCCATTGTGAAGGGTATTCAATAGAAAAGAGGATTAGGGGATGCATTGTGTAGGGATTATATATGAATTTGTTTGGCATTTATCTCCGGTTTCAGAGAATATTTCTACTCCCCCTGGATGGGATGCTAGTCCATCGCAGGTTACTCCCCAGCTAATGCCGGTACCCATTTATACTCCTGGGTGGAGAGGGGCAAGTGTGGATGAAGTCTGCAGTAGGACACAACATAATGGCCAGCAGCTGAATTCGAACTCCTGACCCTCTGATCATGAGTCACAAACCCTAACCACACTACGGCACAAAAAAAGGAGTTTGATCACTGCTTGCTCAATTGGAAGTTGGTTGCTGCCTCGGCAAATAATATGGAACACATAATCTAACCTTTGAAGCGCATTTCTGGTGCTGCACATGGCTACCCGGAAATAAAAACGTCAAACTTCAATTAGGAGATTGACGGAGCCTCTAAAGTCCTTGGAGTTAATGAAACACATGCCTGTCATCTAAAAATACACGTTTTATGACTGTTTTGTATTTGCACAGAATAAAATTATATTCTGAATTATCGAAAGAACGGTTCGTGGCTAGACTGTACGAATTATTAATAATTTTCTGCATAAGTAACAAAATATGCTTATTTTCAACAACAACAAAAAAGACTCTAAAGTCCTTGGAGTTAATGTAATACATGCCTATCATCTAAAAATACACGTTTTATGGCTGTTTTGTCTTTGCGCAGACGGAATAAAATTATGTTCTGAATTATCGAAAGAAGGGTTCGTGGCTAGACTGTACGAATCATTAATTTTCTGCATAAGCAACATAAGCTTATTTTTCTAAAATAATAATGCATTTTGTGGCTTTTTGGTCTTTGCAGGGCATAATAAAAGTTTGCTCTGTTATTTTTTGGTCCCATTTTAATAGTTAATAAAATTAGGCAGCTGCTGAACGGCGCAGACGTAATAAAATTATGTTCTGAATTATCGAAAGAATGGTTCGTGGCTAGACTGTACGAATCATTAATTTTCTGCATAAGCTACATAAGCCTATTTTCTAAAATAATAATGCATTTTGTGGTTTTGGTCTTTGCAGGGCATAATAAAAGTTTGCTCTGTTATTTTTTTGGTCCCATTTTAATAGTTTATAAATTTAGGCAGCTGCTAAACGGCGTAGGGAATTGCAACCACCACCCTACATCTGATACTGTAGAAGGAGGCTTGTTGGAAATGAGAGGGTGAAATTATTGTCCATTTGTCTTTGATTAAAACAGTTGTTCTTCCTGGTTTCTACTCATGAATATTAATTTGTGATGACAATTTTTTTAAAGCCAGCCATCCAGTCAAAGTATGAGAAGCAGAAAAAAGCTGCCTAATATGGGAGACGTGATCCACTTTTTTGGTTCACATTATGACTGCTCAAAAACAGAAACAGTGTCGGTAGACTTCAATTTGGAGTTTGACGGAGCCTCTTAGTCCCTGGAGTTTATGTAACATATGCTTGTCATCTAAAAATACATGTTTTTTTATGGCTTTCTTGTTTTTGCAGGGCATAATAAAAAGTTTGCTCTGAGCCAACGAAAGAATGGTTCGTGGCTACACTGTACGAACTGTTGAAACTTCTTCGTTTAGGTATGAGAGGAAAACTGGTGAGGTACCATTGCAATCAGTTATGGCGAAAAAAAGAGAAGTGTATGAAATAAAACAACTCTTGTTATTTCGCCCTGGGGTTGTGGTCCGTGTGCCCTTGGGCAAAGCACTTAATTTGCCACTCATTGGGCCCACCCAGGATTTTTTTGTAGCGAGGGCAAAGCAAATTAATTGTCCCCTAAAATCCTTGTACTCTCTCTAGCATATTCTCAATTGATCATTTTGTTTTTGGGTGGGCGGGGGACATTTGCCCACCCCACCCCCAGTGACACCCCAACAGACGCCCATTTTGTTAAATGTGTATCAAATTAATAGCAAATATGACTTCACACCTCTTTTTCTTTCTTTTTCTTCGCCCCCCCCCCCCCCTTGGCTTTTCCGGGGGGCCAAGCGCCCCCTTGGCCCCCCCCCCTTGCTACGCCCATGTCGAATGCAACAACAATGGATACCCTTCACAATGGATCCTCATTGCTCCTCAAACCGCCCCCCCCCCCCACATTTCCCCTTAGAACGTGTACAAAAAAGGGGCGGGGCACTACCTATACTGCCCCCACTGCACTACTACTCCATTTTCCCCAGAGTAAAAACATTTTTCACGCGATTTCCAGCGAGTTGACTTAATTGGCGCTCTGTTGGTGTGGCCTCCATTTTAATGTTTTCATTCACTGTTAGCACACTGCTTGAATGAATACAAATGATACTCTTAGTCATTTTCAAACGTTTGACACCCGTCTTTGTACCATATATTCCATCCAGCGTCTCTCTTTTGTCCGATATTCCAGTTCAAGTCTTCCTCTGTCCGATATTCCATCTAGGGGGCGGGTCCTCCCTTTGTCCAATACAATTTCCAGACCCTTCCTTTGTCCGATAAAACTTCCATACGCCAATGCGCTCTTTTATTATGCTTACATAATCCATTGATATGGTCATTAGTTTCATTGATATGCAAATGAGTCTATTATGCATTATGCATACAATTCTGTTGTCTTGTCTTATCGAGACCCTACTTAGCACTACTCTTTTCGCGCAAGGGTTGTAAAACTCGTCTTCTCTCCACAGGTTTCTTCAGGCTTGCGAGCTACAGGCGCCCCCGCTGGAACTTTATAGTTTTCCGGCCTGGAATATTAATACTGTAGTACGATGTTTACATTATTCGTGCAGTGGAGCACCATATTTTTTTGTAGTCCCACGATTTGGCCTTGGTGACATGAACGTGGCCTGTTTTCGAGTAGTATAATAGGGGTATAAGTGGCGCCACCAACGTCAAAATAAGCCGCCCCTAAAAAAAAAAACCCAATTTTTTTACGCGGCCAAAACTTTTGGGCAACATTTTTGGAAAAAAATTCAACTTTTAACAAATAAGTAAAAAGAAAAAAAAATGGAGCCCCCCCCCCCCAACCCAACCAAATCCTGAGTGCGCCACTGTATTCGTGACAAGAACCGACTTACGTAGAGAGTGCTGAATTTCAACATCTTTGAAAGGTCGAATCAAGCAATAAAGTTGCACATAATTGTTCGCTCCCGACCCCTCCGTTGTGCTTCGGACCCCAAATGTAGGACGTAGCGGGTAATTTGGCCAGGAGGAATTCCTCCCGGCGAATGTAAAATAGCGTAGGTACTGAAGTGCCTATGCAATGTACTTTTTGTTGATTGGAAATGCACCTTTGTGCCCCATTCGCAATTGTCGTTTTGCCATTTGAAGGGTATTTTGCTGCCCCTTTGTTTTTTATGCTAAGGCGAATTCCCACAATCATGAGCAAATTATTACTGTGATGTCTTTCCGGGTAGAAACATCAATTCTACAGCTGTTTCAGCACACAAAAAATGCTTGGAATTGTGGATGTTTTAAAGTGTCATAAATGTTCTTATTTTGGTGAATCGTTGTTGTGCTACTACATGGCAGTAAGCCAATGAGCAACCCTTTCTCACATACATTTTCAATGAGCAAATTCACCATTATTTTGAACAAAAAAAAACCTTAACTGAACAGTGTCTTCCTGAAATGACGCCACAGCAACAGCGCCCTCAGTTGCCCGAAAAAGAAATAGACAATTTAAAATGTTTAAAGAACTAGAAGTGCACTTTTCAAATTCAATAAAATTAACCAAAAAAGGGATGTCAAATAGTTTTAATGGAAGTGGGAAAACATACGTAAAAGATTAACTTTGCTATTATAAAAAAAAAATAAGCAAGGATGACGAAAAAAATCTACAGCGAAGAGGCAAGAAACTTCTGCGAAAGAACGGGCTCCGTGTGGGAACAGATAGGCCTACAAATGTAGTACAACTGTAGGCCTATCTGTTCCCACACTGAGCGCACAATACGTTTAGTATGTTTACATTATTCCTGACAAGGGAGTGTGAATTTCAACATCTTTGACTCGTGCGATACAGTTGCAAACACACGCAACAATGTGTCCATTTTGCCAGCCGTAAAAGTTCAGGTTGGGCCCCCTTGCTCTCTGCTTTGCCATTCATGCATTCATTCATTTCGCACATTGAAGAACGTACGCCTATTCGATCAATGAGGATTATCTCGACGGCAGGGTTCGCCAATGGGGCAAGTTTTTTTTAAGCTATAACCATTTCCACTATAACCATGGAGTCAGACTGGGACCTTGAATGCAGAAAAACATGCAAAAACGGCAACATATCTGACCAACTTTACTCACTCTAATTCCGTCAACAAAATTCTCCACAATTTTCATGAGGCAAAGACATCCTCAGTGTTTCACCTGCCAAGTTTTTGTTCTCAATTCATTTTTTAAGGAGACTTTTCTTTTAACAGTTTGCGACTATAACTTACAATAACCATGGCTCAGGCCTATGATATAACCGTGACGGTCTAAATTTGAAGCCTAAGACTATACATGTCCAACTTTTTGAGAAGATTGAGCCTTCAGTGTGGTGGCATGATGACTATGGAAATATGTACAAATAGAGACTGGGTACCGGTATACCAGATGTTTCTTTTGACACAAATGATTGGTGCATGTGCCAGTCTATTTTTTTGTTTTCTATTTTGGGACTCTCATGATAATAGCCATACCATGGAGCTACAGTATTGAGAGTCCCAATTAAATTTTCAGATAACCATGTAGCATATGCTTCAAGCCGAGAATGTGCACGACAAACATGGTGAAAATATAACTACGATGAATGTATACGTTTCGATCAATTGAGCCATATAGAGCAGAGACATGATATATATTATGATTGAGATATGAAGCTACTTTTCCCAGATAGTGCAGTGACTGCACAGAACACCTCATGATAACCATGGCAGCTAGAGGCCACGTAACTGTCTAAAGTAAATTAAAGACTCACAATTGTTTCGTAGCCAGGTGGGCTACTGTCCTGTCCTCTAGAGTTCAACTCCTCCCAACGTAGCGGCGAAGACTCGCCTGAACCACCTCCTTTCTCCCCGCCGACATCCTCACCCAGATGCGACGGATCGCTGTTCATCGTCGGTGCCTGAGAAACATACAGCACTGAGTTTTCTCACAATACACAGCTGGTTTTTACAAATACAATCCCACAAGATGTATTTAGCACTGTTAGGTCAAGGTCTGTGTACACTGTTGTGGGTTGCTCGCGTGGTGCTGCTGGTGTGAGGCGCGCAACATACACTGAGCGCAGCGGCGGACTGGCGCTGTGCAAACTTTGTTGAGAGGTCACAGAGGTTGAAGACCGATGCTGTCAGAGGATTACTAAACTACCAGGCACTCAATAATCCAGTCGAATCATTATGGAGGTAGTTGAGGCACATGGGTTCTGAGTGTTTTCCCGTCTGTTACGCTTGTTGATCATGTTTGGCGGATGATGATGTTTTCCAAACCGAGTCCTTTTGCCGGGGCGATCCTGGGTCAAACACTGCCGACCTAGGCCTACATCTCCAAAAGAATGCTCTACATGCCCTCGGATAGAGCATGGAGGAAGGAAACACAGAGCGAAGCCGGATGCATGCTCCTTGTTAGTCGCGCTACATTAGTTGGGGCACCACGGATTCGGAGGAGATTGTTTTCCTTCCTCCAGGCTTGGGAACTAGTCTCAACATTACTATTCCTAAGCTGGGAACAAATCTCGTCGGCAAAAAAAACTTTCAAAACACATTCCTTTGGAAGAGTCACAACAGCAGCTAGCATGCTAGTGCGGTCTCTGACCAACCTCAGGGTATCTCCAGGAACGGCCAAACACAAATCTGGTTGCTATAAATATTGCATGCAGCTGGGTTTCCAATTTCACAGAACATTATCGTTGAGGTATGGTGCATGCAGCCATAGAGCTAGTAGCTCTATGATGCAGCTAAGAAAGTAGGTAGGTGTAGGTGAAGTAGGTGTAGGATAACATCGCTTAGTGCCTGCATGAAGGAATGTGTTCTTATTCCTCCATGGTGCCTGTATGTCAGTTTTGCGTCATATGTACACTGATGCAGCTTCTTGTGACCATGGTCTATTCATTGAGGAATAAAAAGACATCCTCCAGGGTCTATTCATTAAGTTCCTCCGAACTGCGTGGTAGCTTTCGGCGTCCATGGAAATATGCATCATGTATAGACTATAGTGGTCTTTAGTACTGGCCCCCGAGAGGCCAGACTCCTTTCCCTTTGTACCTCGATACATACTGGCCGACTGACTGTCACTTGTGAATTAGACTTGCATAGACTTGCATCAGTCTCACCTTAAACCAAATTGATGTGGGACTAGACTTAATGACAAGTCGTTAGATTTCGCGTGGAGCCAGTAACCAACCGGTACCGTACACAAAACAATTACCCACTTGGCACCAAGTCTAATTTGGGACCCGAAATTTACTATTCGTAACTGAGTGTATGCCTTTACAGGGGGTGTCCCCCAAAAGTTGTGCTAGCAGATCTCCTTTAATTTCTCAAACTACTTAACATGAACATGTCATCTCGATGGAGCATATGTGAATAATCAGTGAAAATGCCATGGAAATCCGTTCGAATGCAAACATGGCAAATTAACTAACAGATTATAAAAGGCTATGAGTTTTTCGCGTATTCCAATTATGAGATAATGATACAGGAGTTAACTTAATTTAAATCTGAGTGAAAAGGCCCATGACAGTGCACTGATATCACTAACTGTGTAAATCCCATGGGAACGGGTGAAAAACTCAAAGCCTTTTACAATCTGTTAGACCTCTGGTTTGCATGAACGGATTTCTATGGCATTTTCACTGATTATACACAAGAGTATAATTAATATGCTCCATCAAGATGAAATACTCATGTTAAGTAGTTTTTGAGAAATTAAAGGATATCTCCTTGCACAACTTTTTTTTTTGGGTGGGGGGACACCATGTATGTAATTGTTTGTATACTGGGTGTGAGCGTTTTAAATTACCCTTATGTGGGATATAATAAAGGTGACTTGAAGTTGTTATTGTTAAGACTAAATATGGCATGTTAATTAATTTGGATTGTCCTCCGATCTCGTGGGTACACGTGCGTAGACGGTGCAATCGTAGAGCTTCTAAATCTGTTACGACATGAGACCCATGACCAATGAAGTTACTCCAAAATCGTACCGAGCAAAATGCAGCTCGCTCGGCATTGATTAGCCCGCCCACAACTTCGATTCCCTGTTATCAACCTGTCTACGATTATACCCTGTGCAAAGTGATCGTGTTATTGTTTTAATTGTAATTAAATTTTCTGCCACCATTGTGATTAAAGAATGAATCAATTCAGTGAAAACAGTGCGCTGTCTGAAACCTCTGAGAAATCTACAGCTGCACACACATAAATATTGATATATTTGGATGGTTGTAATAGCGATTAATTTAATAAACGAATAAGTGACGCATTTTTTTTTAAATCCTTCTTTTACTTTTCGGAATAAGAGAATGAAGTCCTTTATTCAGGCTGCAAGTTCGAATCGTGTGGATGTGTCGATGAACTTGACAGACACAAATCATTGGGGAATTTGTATGCACTAACACCAAGCTCAGCCGAGTGCAAGATTTAGGTTAAGTTCATCTTGTCTGTCAAGCTCTCAAGAGGGTCAATTGAGGTCAACGAGGGTCACGCAGGGTCATCCAGCCAGAAGCACTAATGCAATGTCACCTGCAGATCATTCAACACGTAGGAAAAAAGCTTGGCAGTTCATACGCGACTAAAGATATATACGAGTCGTTCACCTTTTTGTTTTATTTTGGTTTGGGCGGGAAGGGTTCTTTCGGGAATTAATTATTGCACAATTATTGTAGAATGTATTATCGTGAAACCCTCTGGTCGGATTTTTTTTTGTCGAGTGCCAATTGCGTTAAAGAAGATATACTTTTAGCATGTTAGACATTTCTCCGAAAAAGGTTGTTGATTGCAACTAGGGTTCCAATAATGAAACGAAATTCCTCAAATTAAGCTTGATCTAGCCTAAGCCCAATAGGCTACTCACTATCTAATAACCTAGGCCTACGAGAAAGGATAGATGTCGGTTGTTTCCACCCAGAAACATTATGCGCCGTTGGTCTGACGTCGAACTAATAATTAGTCGGGCCGATTTTGGCCCAACGCGTCGGGTACTAGCGTTTGTCCGACGCAAACAAAATAACGCCGCATCAACGGTAGTAAAATATAGCTTCGCGTCACCATTTTGTAAGGGACGCATTTTAAAAAAGGCTTTAGTTATTTTACTTTTTGGAAGAGGTTGGCGTAGCGGTACTTTCCTCGCCTTCCACCGCTGTGACCCGGGTTCGAATCCCACCCAGGTCAACATGTGGATTGGGTTTTCAGTCCCTGCCTGATTCCGTGGGTTTCCCCCAGAATATTCCTCTGGACTTTTCCTCCCACCTCTAAAACTGTAATTTCTTCTCATTGTCGTCTCTCTACAGGTTTCTTCAGGCTTGCGAGCTACAGTGCCTAGGGTACTTTTGAGAAATCCTTGGGCATTACCAGAAAGAAATTTAAAAAAAATGAAATTGTGATATGCATGTACCGTTTGTCGAAATAATTAGTCGGGTTAACATTTGTCCAACGCTTCCAGTAAGCGTTGGCCCGAAAGAAAACAGCACGTCGATCGGTCTAACATACTTTCGTCTTTTTCGGACTCTTAACGCGTTGCATAGGCCCACCTTCTTTAAACATTACATTAGCACGTGTTGATGCCAAGCTAGGCGCATCCAACCAAGTGATGCAAATTGCATGCACTGTCCAGAGATCAACATGTGGAAAAAAGTTCAGCTCGATAATTATTTCGTATGCCGTGAAGTTACAACGATCGAGTCTTTCACCTTTTTAAAAGGTTAGGCCTTTACATTTGCAAACATAAAACAAAATACCTAGGCCTATTAGTCTCATCCTGTGAAATGGCACCGGTGTGCTGTCATTTTCAAGAAAAGTGGAATGTTTGTTTCAATTTCCAACGATGGTCGGTCAACCATCGTTTGAAAAAACTGATATGTTTGTCTTCTTCAATTCAAATACATCCCCAAATGAACCAAATTTCGTCAGTCCACATTTTGTTTTGCAAATCGGTTACACATCAGTGAACGCAGGAAGCTAGCCAGCTGCCTGGTTTATTCCCTGACCTGACAAATCCCTGACGTCTATAAATTGCTCCGTTTCGTTTGAAGTAGGATCAGGGAACCAGACTACATGAACAACATTATTTTCTTGTCTTTTTCCAACTCTAGTTCAGCAGTTGGGTTTATTTGCTGTATCATCATGCGCGTGGAAAATTCCTACGAAACCATTTTATGTTTGTACTTGTAATAACACGTCACCCTAAGTCCGTTAATTCAGGCTTCCCCGAACCAAAACAAATCTTTAAAAAAAAATTGATCTCATTAGGCCAAAAAAAAAAAGTCTCCGGTTTCTGGTATGGAGCTTGCCCCAAAAGTGGTGCGGCGACGCGGCTTTTTATTTTTTTTTTTTACCTGTTTTTTTTTGGGGGGGGGGCTTCAAACGTCGGCTGATGACTGCAAATGGTGCCCGACTAAACTTAGTGCAAATATATGGGAGTCCAAAGAGGCCACATAAAGCTTATTCTCGATCATAACCCCATCTAAAAACACGTTAAAATTGTGCAGCAGCAGAATTCCAGTCGAACCAGTGAGTTTGGCGGTTTTGAGACATCATCTTGTATTTAGTGAAAAAAAACCTTTTTCATTTTGCCGACGCGCATGGCTACGGCGACGCGCGCGCATACCAGAAACCGGAGACTTTTTTTTTTGGCCTTAGTCGGCCCTACTTCATAATAACTCATTAAAGTCTATGAAAATTATTTGAGTCGATTGATTGCCGTCGATCTTTGTGGATGTCACGACCAAGCTAGTAGCACCTGCTATGTTGTGTCACTGTCTTAGACCGAAGACACGCCAACTGCCTAATGCTTTGTTTACGTTTGCTGGTGGTCTGTTTATGAAAGACGGAAAACGCTGACAACATCCCTATTATTACTTTCTGATCTCTCAACCTAGAACTTAACATGGAGGAGAAATACACCATCAAATCGGAAGTGGAGTTATGGTCGAGGGAAAGAAATAAGAAAGTTTCTCGTTACTCCATAGTAAAATTTGTTCCATCATTGGCTGGCCAAATAAAATCAAAAATTGGGTCATCGCAGGCCTACATATCCATTATGATCCGAGATCTAGTGCCAATCACGCGGTCCGTTTTTATGATGATTGATTTCACGGGAAAGAATAACGGAAAAGTGTCGTCAAGTATTTTTAGCTACACACATTGCATACTGGAGATCAGTGCATTGCTTCGAGCGAAAAAAGTATACCGTGGTTTGGATATGGCGCCCTCTAACGTCTTAATATCAGTATGCCATTGAGGGCGCTACACTGAACAACAAACATTTTGCTGTCGGCCGTCTGATCTGAGACCAGGTAAAATTTGACTAAAGAAATAGTGATTTTAAACCACTTCTGCATGGTCCTGAGTAATTGTAATACTTGGATTCGACCCTTAGGAGTATTGTGGATCGAATTTGAACAATCTGACGTGTTGTCACTGCGGTCTGAGTGATTAAATCGTCGTCTTAAATAAATCTTTCCGCGTTAATAATATTCACACGAGAGATTTGCCTCAGCAAAGCAAAACATTGAATATTGCGTAAGCCTAGGCTAGCCCTAGTTAGTTCTCGCTCGGTCACTTTCAAGTTAATTCAGAACAGAGTGAAGGCGGAAACAGCCGAAAGTGAGCGTTTTCAAGTCCTTAGACCGCACCAGGGGTCAGGGAACTTTGAGATCGCCAGGTTTTCCTGATTGATATTTATGGCAAGTTTGCTCGATTTGCCTGACGAAGTCCTGTTGGTCATTTTGGAACATCTGAGCATTGCGGACATCGGACAGACAGCCCAGGTGTGTAGGAGACTCAGCGATCTGATTGGACAGGATGCTGTGTGGCGACCAATCAGCAAGCACCTTATCAATATTCACGAGGATGAGGATGAAACAAAGAACTGTAACTACTACAAAACTGGGTGGGTAATTCATCCAAAATTTGTTAATCAACATGGTCGATACAACTTACTTAGGCCGTACGTTAATAAGCCTCATCGCAAATAGCAAAATCCGAGAGCATCACGGGAAGACTCAGGGACATTGACCGCGTACGTACGCTGTCAACGCGTACGCCGCATGGCTTCACATGGTGGCGACGGCGTGCGCGTTCGAACACGGCGTTCGTGCGTGGTTCTTTGCTCCCTTATCCTGCCCATAATGCTTTACGCAGCAGTGTATTTTGCTATTTGCGAAAAGGGTTATGGCTGAATAATATTGTTAACACTTTTCCTTCCATTTTAATGTAAAATAAATATTGAAAATGTCATTATGTTTCCATGTTCACAGCCTATCATATAATTTATAAACCACTGACCCAAAATTGACAATTTTGGGAACGATATTCACACATGTGTTTTAGACTTTTTTAAAGAATTTTTAAATGCACATAGAGAAATCCATCATTCGACTTGCATAATAAACATAATTTTTAGATGTTGATAAGTTGATATTTGTACCTACATTAACACAGATACAGTGCGTGGAAATTAACCTATCGTGGTAGAATCACGTCAACACAGCTTGTGAAATATTGTCCAATTACATGATGTACAAATGGACGCGAAACGCGCAAAATCTGAGACAAACAAAACTTAACGTACAAAATTCCATACGGAAATGGAAATAGGTAAATTTTTGGATGCTTTAGGCCTAATTACTTTCCAGTGTTTTTAGATTGAGTAAAATCCAAATCCAAAGATAAAAACATATTGACATCGGGAAATCCAGAATAGCATTTGTGATATGAGGAATCTATTTTAAGTGCACATTTTTGGTGTTGTCATTTGAATCCAGCAGTCCTAGATATGTCAGCTTGAAGGACAAATGCCGTATCTCACTCAACTGGTCTAGAGGACAGAAGACAGATATCCTTCTGTGTAAATTCAAAACTAGGTAAGTGTGCCGGTGAATCTGATCGTCTTATGATAACGTCATTTATACAGACCTTTAGGGAATGTTGTTAACTACATATTGATACCCCGTTTGCTACCAAAGACTGTAAATCATCCAATACAGTTTCTGAAATATGATGTAGTTTGAAAAGTTGCTCATTTAAAGACTACGCGAGTTGAGTGGAAATTGCTGTGTGACAATGTGACACTGCCCGAAACAAATGGCAGGAAATATCGATGGTTTCTGCATCATTTTTCATAAACAGTTGTCAATCTGGGACGATTTACAGTCTTTGGTAGCAAACTGCGTATCAAAATGTAGCTAACATTCCCCAAAGGATATATAAATGATGTCATCATAAGACTAACAGATTGATAATTATGGCCCCTCCAATGAGTTTGTGAAGTTTCTTTATTTGCGGTGTTTACAGTGTAAATATGTACACATGTTCAATGTAGTAATAGTGTTTTAAAGATATAGTCCATCATTTGTAATTTGTGCATTTTGTTCGTTTAAAGCAACAAAAGTGTTCAATATCTAATGAAGGATACTGAACAACTAACCTGATGAAGTTTCAGCTCAGCTTCAGCTGTATATTCCGAGAAAAACAGCATTCTAGGATCTCAATTTCAAATCAAAAGTTGCTGAATCATGTTTTGAATTGGGCCTGAATTCAGCGTCCGAGACGTGTTCTCACTGAGGCGACTGCAGCTATACGCGATGTCGCGCACTGATCCGACGAATTATAGCAACGTGCCAGTGCTTGCGCGCGCTTCGCCGAATAACAAAACGAACTATTAATTTAAATTTTCCTACGGTGCATCTTAAGACGCACCGTTGGAAAGGCCTTCTTTCGTTGATTACTTCAAAATGACAGCTTGCCAGAAAGAATAATTTCACAGGGAGTTTAGTCCCCTTACTATCTTTCAACCAAGTATGTTTTTCAACAATAATTACGCCAGTTACTTTTCGGATGGCTGCAAATGATGGACTATAGCTTTAATGGGTTAAGAGTCTTCCCAATCCTCTTTTCTTGCAGGTATCTGCCATGGCTACAGCTGGACGGTCAGCATCTCTACTCCAGCCAGGGGGACAAAGTCCACTGCTACCGGCTGACCGATCAGGGCCGCATCTTCAAGAAACCCCTGGTGTCTTTCCTGGGCCAGTTAGGTGACGTGTCTCGCTTCGTCGTCAGGAAGGACAAACTCCTCATGAGCGGCTGGTGAGTTTGCTCAATGTTATGTGCGTGGAAGTCGGCTGAATTTGTTCTTCATTTGTTTGCTCTTTACCAGTTCGTGCCGGAGGCCATCATGATGACACGCACCGGCTGTTTTTGTGCCCAGGCACGGCTGACGGATTAAGACATCACGATCGCCTCGACTCACCTCCGGGTGACATCTAAACACGCTAATCCCTCGTGCCTTTTTGTACACACACACACAAAGTCTGTGAAGTCTGTGCAGGCGGACCGTGTGTTGACCATTGTGCATGGCCTATCGTTGTACAATTTATGCTTCAGTGCACACCACAGAGTATTGAAACATATGAGTTTTTGGCAAGAAATATCGTACAACTACTGTTAAAATCACTCTTGCGAATCAGTATTTGTGGCGTTTGGCTGTATATATCAGAAGCTGGCTGGGAAATTTTGCCTTTTGAAAATTTTGAAATTTTCGGCAAATATAAACTCCGGCACCAAGTGGTTAATTAGCACTTGCTTTTTTCCAAGTGTAACTTTTGTTTTCTAGGTCTCTCTCCATGGTAAGCAATGGAGGATGCAAAAAACGATTGACAAAGACTTTAACGCTCTGAAGCTTCATACTAACCCTATAGGCAACCGTATTCATGTAGCTGTAATGAGTCTCATATACGAAATTGTGGTAATGTGTCTTGCCCAAGGACACAATATTCCCTCCTGGTTTTTTTTTTTAGGGTTTATACTTTGGACACCGTAGTCACTCACTGTACCATGCCATTTCAGTGGTTAGAAAAAAAAGAAGGAACTCTGCCAACTGAATTAACCCGTATTGTTCAGTGATTTTTTTGCCAGTCAGCTTGATAGCCATCGCCATCTATGTGGAGTAATGGTGTGCATTTGTGGGTAGTATGGGAACCGGGTAAAACACGGGTACCGGGATACCGTTAAAGAAACCCAACCCCAAATTCAAATTCCGGAGGTTGTCCGAAGGGCTTTATAGCTTTACAGTGTAAACTGCAACTTTCGTGAGCGTCTTTTCCCAAAGACATCTGTCCAAATGACAGCTCCATATTGCTGCACAGCATGAGGGCAAATCAAGCGCTACGAAAGGAAGTGGAATGTCCTTGACAGAGCCAGTTAACCATGATATCATATTCATAAATACCTAAGATAGTTTACGCATTCCTATTGGTCGAGAGCCCATCACGTGGCCGGTCTTAAACGGATGATAAAGACATGGCTAGCTGGTCTTAAACACTTTTCCAGTGTCACAATAAAATGTGGACTCCTAAAAATCCAGTGCCTCTTATCGTTTCATTGGTTGAACGTTCACAATCCTCACGTAGGCGTGCGCAACACTACCAGGGAGTTAGAATTTTATAGTTCTAAATTCAAAACGCAACGCGCCAGGTGCGTTCTGCGCGACATCGCGCAGAACATGCTACGCGCGCGTCAACCTCCATAAAAGGGTTGTTTACATCTTACTCGCCAGCTGAACACTCCATTATTTTGCAGGAGGGATGTTTCAAAAAGCATAAAGTGAATTTGTTGAACAAAATCGGGATGTTTTGAACGAATTATATGATTTTTTTTTACCGAAAAGGTATTTATGAATGGGAATAAATATGTGCTCCGTCGGTATTTATCGCTCTGTTTAAGACCACTTAGAGTCTGGGTGCTGATAATTACCCTCGCCTCCGGCTCGGGTAATTATCAGCACCCAGACTCTAAGTGGTATTAAACAGAGTGATAAAAACCTCCGGAGCACACATTTATTCCCTTATTAATGATTCAGAGAAATGATCCAAAACTCCTAGTCTGCAATTTCCTTGAGCATTACTAGATGATAGTTGTTGAAGATTTGAAAAAAAGTTTGTTTTCAAGTTTATTCACTGAGCTCTTAAAATCTCTGTCATGGACATTACATTGTCCATTAAATCATTGTACAATAAATCACCCTGGATCTTTTTTTGTCTTTTCGCGACTAAAGTGATGGCAAAATGCTGCTGCACCACAAGCTCACCGGCGCCCTGCTAGGCTGTTACCAGCCGGAGCACCACCTGCCCAGCTTTGTCAACTTCACCTCGGTTGATATGACAGACGACGTCATTATCGGCGGCCTCAACGATCAGTGCATCCATCTCTGGAGTTTGCACAGCCAACAGAGGGCGCTTACCATCCCTGTGCTGGATAGAGTCTGGTCTGTGAACGCAAGCCCTTGCCAGAGGTTTGTTTGCAAAACCCATCTCTTAAAAGACTAATTTTCATAAAGTAAATAGCAAAGATTAGCAGAGTGTGCTGTCCATGCCTGTGCTGGATAGAGTCTGGTTTGTGAATGAAGCCCTTGCCAGAGGTGTTTTTCCAAAATCCATCTCTTAAAAGACTAATTTTCATAAAGTTAATAGCAAAAATCAGCAGACTGTGCTGTCCATCCCTGTACTCGATAGAGTCTGGTCTGTGAATGCAAGCCCTTGCCAGAGGTTTGTTTCCAAAACCCATCTCTTAAAAGACTAATTTTCATAAAGTTAATAGCAAAAATCAGCAGACTGTGCTGTCCATCCCTGTACTCGATAGAGTCTGGTCTGTGAATGCAAGCCCTTGCCAGAGGTTTGTTTCCAAAACCCATCTCTCAAAAGACTAATGTTCATAAAGTAAATAGCTGAAATCAGCAGAGTGTGCTGTCCATCCCTGTGCTGGATAGAGTCTGGTCTGTGCACGCAAGCCCTTGCCAGAGGTATATTTCTAAAACCCATCTCTTAAAAGACTAATTTTCATTAAGTAAATAGCAAATATTAATCAAGTGTTCTGTCCATCCCTGTGCTGGATAGAGTCTGGTCTGTGCACGCAATCCCTTGCCAGAGGTATATTCCCAAAACCCATCTCTTTGAAGACTAAATTGCATAAATTAAAGTGCACTTATTTGTTTTTCAACACTCCTGTATAGTCATTCTGATATTTTGGACACTGCTTCATAAGTTTATGTGAAAAATGTATCTCTTTGTTGATTTTGATCTGTTCAACTTTCCTTTTTTTAACCTAGGTCATTTGCGACGGGCAATGCAGGAACAGCAGACCACCAACCATTGAAAATCTGGGATATTGAAAAGTGAGTTAAGATTCCTTCATTTTTTCCTAAACTATGTTTCCACTCTTATCCCATTTTTTTAAGGACATCACTTGCCAAAGACAACTGTTCAGGGAACACAAACAATTGTTAGAAATTATCACTTTCCATTTTTAATTTTAGTTAAACAAGTTCGAGTGCATAATAATCTCTGGTCGTCTTGCATGAAAGTCTTGCATGAAATTGATCAAAATGATCCCAGCCAGAGCTTAACAATGTGACGCCCAAAAATGCGACGCCGATGGCACATATGGAACAGCATACTTTAGATTTATACAGGATTTATAGCGATTTGTGATAAATACCATGTGACTATAACATTACTGCACATATTTTGCCTACTTTTACAATGTTTTCATAAACATCTTTCCGAATTGCTACAAACGTTAAGTATTTAATTTATTTTTTTTGCTTTTTTTCAAAATTAAAGTTTGGTATCGTTTCGGTTTGCGGTAACACCATGTGGTAATAACTACTGCTTAGAAGATATTAGTTCTGAAAAGAACTTGTCCTGCTTATTATCAACTTTGCTAAGTAGTTTTTTGTTCTGATAAGAACAGTCCTGCTGTAAGTTCTAAACGAACTTGTCTTTGGTCTCAACTTAAATTTTGGTAGTTATATTTTGTGGGAAACTAAGAGGCTGATTTAAAATCAGTTCTCATTGCAAAAATGACAAGATGACACAGTGTGTGTATTTTTAAGAAATTTGGAAACATTTGCATTTCTGTCATTGCTTTATTTCCTCAAACTAATACCAGCTAAAACATTTTTCTGTTAATATGAAACTTTTTTTCAATGGTCAGAAAAACCTAGGACAATTTGAGACTAATGTTTTTCTTGAACTTCCTCTTCAGCGGCAAGCACATTCTGTCAGTTGGTCGTAACTGGAGACACGGAGCCGGTATACTGGACATGCAGTACGAGTCCCAAAACACCTTACTGTCCTGCGGGTACGATACCACAGTACGCATGTGGGATCTCCGGACAAACTGCCTGTGAGTACTTTTAAGAAACTTCTTCCTAACTCATCCCCCTCCTAAAAAAAAACCCTATCTTACGAACTTGTACCACTAGTTAAAGTTGCAGACAAGTCAATTACAATTAAATCCCAAGTCAACTCATAAGTCACAGTCACAATTTTGTCACGAGCAAGGGTGTCAATTGCTTCTCAAAATTGGGAGGGGGGAATACCTTAATCAGAACTAATGCAAGTGCGAAGGGCGACGTCCTAACGGTGTGAGGTTCAAGGCCCACTTAAGGGCCCCAAAAAATCGGCAACTTTTCCTCGGATCAGCTGATTTCCTCTTTTGTTACTTCCCATGTGTGCCATTAAAAATAGAAAAACACTGTATAAAGTCTTGGAAAGATCCTTGAATTTCCACTGTTTTGTGTGTCTTCCCAGTTGCATGCCTGAATCTGAGGCAATTTCTGACCACTTTAACCAATTTTGTTGAGCAACAGATCATAATTTAAACATTTTTGAGTTTGGAGTCATTGAATCACCTATTCTGAGCTATAGAATCCAATTTTTATTCGGGGACTAAAAAAGCGGGGAGGGACCACCAATATAATATCCCCCCTCCCCCCACACTTTAAAAGCAACCTAACGCATTTTGTGTTTTGTCGATCGAGCGGCACGGACGTTGGTCTGAGTATCCAGACTCGGATTGTAGTCCTTGCTGAACGACACCAACAGCAGAATACACAGTGGCAGGATGGCGTAGGGCCAGAAGAACAGGGACAGTAGCAGTCTTTCTTGTGTGGTCGTGGGTCCTGGGGATGGGGAGTTGGTGAAGTCCTGAAACAAGATCTGAGATAGGATTGCCTGAAGGGTGGTCATAGTGTGGACCGAGTAGATGATGGACGGGATGCGAATCCACTTACAGCTCCCTTTAAAAAAGGAATCAAAAATTAAAATTAGAAAAACAATCAATAAAAACTCATGGAAAGAATGTTGCCACTTCAGCAGTTGCGTACAAAGTCTGTGGAGAGTCAAGAACATTTTCCAAGTATTTCCTAACAAAATTGGAAATGTTTCTCGGTCTCAGATTCATGTCTTATTGTCATTTTTGCAATGACTGACCTTCATTGAGATGATATATGAAGAAACAGTGGCGTCAGGCTGCAACATTCTTTCCAATTTAATATTCGGTTTTGCCCTTCACCAACTTTATTTCTTATACCCTGTTTACTCAGTATAATCAGTGTTGTCTGAGGACTTGCGAAAAGAAGGAAAAGACCATCATACAATTAGTGATTGGTTGCGGTACTTGCTGCTGTATCAGATTTAAACCAGCCAGCTGATCCTGGCAAGTTCGGTGGTCGAGTGGTAAGACCTCTGCACTAGTATGCAGGAGGTCGTGGGCTCAATCCCTCCTGAGTAAACTTGTGAGTTTTTCTGGGAAGCCTTTGGGAAATTAATACTGAGTATACGGTGTTCATAGATTAGGTCTGTGAAGGGCAAAACATAATGTAACAGACTAGCTTGCTTAGTCGAACTTGAACTGAAACTTTGACATTAATTATTCTCGGTGAATCAGTCTGTTAAAGTGATATCCACTCAGTCACTCAGTCACTCACAAGTGTGTCTCAGTCAATCAGTGACTCGGGGAGTGGGGGAGTCAGCCAGTAAGTGACTTAGTAACTCGGGGAGTCATGTAGTCAGTAAGTTGGGATTTAGTCAGAAGTGAATATAGTTAGTAGCAACACAGTAGTGGCTCAGTCAGAAGTGACTCAGTCAGTGACTCTGACCCAGTCAGTCATTGACTGAATCAATCAGTGAATCGGTGACTCAGTCAAGCAATCAGTAGTGGCTCAGTCCGAAGTGACTCGGTCAGTGACTCTGACCCAGTCAGTGACTCAGTCAATCAGTGTTTGGTCAAGCAGTCAGTAGTGACTCTGTCAGTCAGGGACTCATTCAGTCAGGGACTCAGTCAGTGTCTCAGTCAGTCAGGGACTCAGTCAGTGACTCAGTCAATCAGTGACTCGGTCAAGCAGTCAGTAGTGACTCAGTCAGTCAGGGACTCAGTCAGTCAGTGACTCAGTCAGTCAGCGACTCAGTCGGGGAGTGTGGGAGTCAGTCAGTGACTCAGTCAATCAATGACTCAGTCAAATAGTGACTTGGTCAAGCAGTCATTAGTGACTCCGTCAGTCAGGGACTCAGTCAGGGACTCGGGGAGTGACTCTGTCAGTCAGGGACTCAGTCAGTCAGCAACTCAGTCGGGGAGTGGGGGAGTCAGTCAGTGACTCAGTCAGTCAGTGACTTAGTCAAATAGTGACTCGGTCAAGCAGTCATTAGTGACTCCGTCAGTCAGGGACTCAGTCAGTCAGGACTCAGTCGGGGAGGGACTCGGTCAGTGACTTAGTCAATCAGTGACTCAGTCAAGCAGTCACTCAGTCAACCACTCAATAGTCAATCACTCAGTAGTGACTCATGACGATGGCCCTATAATTCCAGCAAAAGGTACCTTTGTAGAAGGCGTACACAGCAACGAAGAAGAACGGAAACTGCAACAAGCATTCACCGTAGACAAAGGAAAGGAACCATGGGTGGGGATCCGGGGTGCAGGTCAAGGGATCCTTAAACCGTTCGCAGTGGTCAGTCAAGATATCTCGAAGCTGATCACAAAAAAAATAAAATTGGCTTAATAATAAAAAAAATTCGTAAAATTTAGGGCTTCATTTTAGTTTCGGAAGGCAAAAAGAGCAAGAACCCTAAAAATCTCAAGCGAAAAAAACATCAAAACTTGCATTAAACTCTTTTAATAGGACAGAAAGACTCGGAAATAATTAGTCAGAAACGTTGGCTGAGATTTTCAGGAAAAAAAAATAGCGACTAGAAAAATAAAAAAAGCAGCAATATGTTTGATCAAAACTACTGAAAAGGGAACATTAATCCTCCCCCTCCCTGAAAAAATTGTAGATTGAATACTGCCCAACACTCACCCCCTGCGGAAACAGCCGTGACGGCAGGATCATTTGTGAATCGACGCAGATCGTTATCAGAATGTGACTGGTGAAATACAAGACGATCACCCACTCCAGTACCCGCGTCATTCCCCTGGCCATACTCGCTGTTACTTTGCAGAAAACACACAGCGGTGAAACCAGAACTTCGCTTATTTAAAGCTGCTTGCGATTTCTTTTGAAAAAAATCCAAGACGATTGTGCTTCTAACTACATGTATGATAAATATCAGTTACAAAAATTGATAGTTAAAAAACCTAATGCTGCGTCATTATACCCGGTCTAATCAATGTCCATCGTTCACATGGCTCTGTTTCAACTTGATTCATTTTTTTGTAGAAAACAAATAAACTTTTAGCTGGACTTTGTCCGTTCCAATTATATCTCATACATTGGCCTTGATCTTTATTGTGCAGAGATTGCAATCACTGACATCTTGAACTTTGCTCTCTGAACAGCAAAATCTGGTTTGCAATTTAAGTTTATATAATATATTTATATTAACTTAAATATTGACTTTAAGGAGCCTGTCTGTATTAAAAAAAAAAAACACTGTACAGGAATTGATTGCTTTATTTAAAGTCAAGTATTCCAAATCCTCTTTTACGTTGGATGAATTTCATTCATTTGAGCTTATGTTTAAAGCAACAATATGGCTCAAAACCTAAACAAGGGTGCGTAACAGCAATCTTTTTGGAGCTTTCACTCAGTGGCAGTTGTACCTTTTGAAAGGAAAATACCAAGGTTCCTATGACCTTTACTTAACCATAACCGCCCTGAATCCTTCAAAATCCTCTTTGCCAAAAGTGGAGGAATTTGGAGGATTGAGGTTACATGGCAAAAGTATGTTACTGCATGATATCGTAGGATGCACTTTGTCAAGGTCTTGGGCCGGACCTTGTGTTGTTTTTGCTCAGCCATGCATAAATATAGGCCTGGATTATACTTGAAATCCCCCGTACTGCTCCAGGATGTCACTGGCCGGGCCCCAACATATTGACAGTCACTGCTGCCGGATTTTGCAGGATTCAGGCAGTGGTCACCCCTCCACGGACCATATTCAAGAATTATGCTATTTTTTTATGAGGCCAATTGGAGGAATTTGCAGGATTGAGGCTACATCCTAGCAAGAAGGCCTAGGGAGTTGGACATGGAGTAAGAGATGTTTTGTACATGTATTTCTGTGTGTTTGCTTCTAGGTCCCCTGTCATCAAGCTAGAAGATCCCCACGACTACACGGTGTATCGTCTGCAGTCCGATGGCAAGTTCCTGATAGCCAGCGGCACGGCACTGTGGAGTGTGGCCAGACTATGGGACAAGCGCATGAACAGCGAACTGCAGGTACAGTTTGGCGGGAACTACAGAGGGCAGTGTTTAGTCAGTGCTCACCAAGTGAGGGCAGTGTTCCATGTATGAAACCAGTGAATGCAAGACATTGTCAGGCAGCATGTAAATCATGTGGTCGATGTCACCATGTTGCTTTAAAACTTATTGATGAACATGGTAGATATTGCTGTTTTCCGTCAAGATTTCAAAATGGTCACACGTTTTTTAAGGTAAAAATATTTGCAAGAGTAAGATCTGTCTCAAGTCAATATGGCTTATCCAGCCACAAAGTTTTTCTCTCGTTTCCTAGACAGGCCAAACAACTGAGAATATTTCTATTTCCCCGCCAGTCCATCGCAGGTTACTGTCCAACTAATGCTGGGACTCATTTACAATTCTGGTTTGAGGGAGGCAAGTGGTGGTAAAGTGGCTTGCCCAAGGACACAACACATTACCATCTGCTGGATTCGAACCCCTGACCTTGATCATTAGTCGCAAACCCCACACTTCACTACGCACTTACAATTTTCAGTCACTCTTTAATGTTCCTTTCTAATTCCTATCCTGGGTGGAGAAAGGCAAGTGGGGGTAAAGTGGCTTGCCCAAGGACACAACATATTGCCAGCTGCTGGATTCGAACCCCTGACCCTCTGATCATGAGTCACAAGCCCCACACTTCGTTACCCACTCACAATATTCCAGCCGCTCTTTAATGTTCCGTCCTGTTTCTCATCCCCAACTGCAGAGTTTCTTCGTCGATCACAGAAGGAACAGTCCGGTCTACGGCCTGCAGTTCAACGGCAGCCACATGTACGTCGCTCTCAACAATTCACTCAGGGCTCTCAGCTTTACCGGTAACTGAAAACGTGTGCATAATCTTGCCTACAGTTTGTTGCTTTGTACTGTCACTTGACCGCATCATTATTTTCTTTTGTGAAGAAACACTCAGGAATAGTGTAACAATAAGCCAGCACGCTACATCAACTTGCACCATTGAGCTGCATTGTATATTAACTTACTAGAGCGTTAACTTGCTGTATAAAGTGAAGCCTGCTGGGTGCATCCATGTTTATGCACAAACCCTAGGAAAACTCCAAATTTAGTACGATTTTTGTACGGCTATTTACATATCTGCATTTGTGTTCTATACCGGTGCGTCATCGAAGCTGATACTCCCAAACCGAAACGCACAACCAGCAAATGAGCGTTTCATTTTGCTCTGCGCAAACAACGTAAACGCGTGCGCGTATGTGCTGCAGATGATTTTTGCCGTCATACTCGTAGAAAAACGCGCTTACGTTGTTTGTGTATGTTGTACTTGCACGTTGCATTTCGAGTATATCAATCGAAATTCATTCCTGTTCTACAAACTCGCCCATGAATTCAAAATGTTTGCGCTCAGGACAGCTTCAAAGTATCTCGGCGGGGAATGAGAAGTTAGCGCTCTAGTAATTTAATATAGCTCTATGGTTTGCACCCAGAAAGATTGGACAGTTTTTACATTCTGATAAACAATTCCCCTGTGTGTTAAAGAAAAATGGGTATCGATAAAACTGAGGTGAAGCTCTTGTTTAAAAGTACAAAAATCCAAACATTGTTGACTATGCCTTTCTCCCACGGTATTTTTTGCGGTCCAAAGTGTGTGCAAAGTGAAAGTCGGTCTTTTTTATTACGTAAACAAGTGCTGATTTCGTCAACTTAGCACTTGTCATAGGTTTGTGTACATTCAATTGCTTTGTTTATCGTCCAATGTGAAAATTGTCCAATCTGCGATGCGCACATGAATAATTTGAATACTGAACTGGCTTATTCATCCTGTGCTTCCATTCTCATTTTTGCTTCCTGTTTTGGGGGCCAACGCACAATTTTTAAAAAAATTTTATTTATTAATTTATTTTTCATTTTTTATTTATTTATATATTTATTTATGCGAAGTACGCCTGTTAAAATTTGCAAGCAGCGATCCATATTATGGGCTGCTTGAGTGCTTTGCAGTATTATTTAACTGTCTTGGGCTTTAACCTGCTATAAAGATGAGAACAATGAACTGTCGTTGGGGCCATATCATAAGTCCGACACCTCATAGGTCCGACAATGGACAAACGCTGTTTCGGACTTATGAAGCGTCGGAGCTATGAGGCGTCGGACTTATGCAGCGTTGGACCTACGAGGCAGAATTTATGCCTTATAAGTGTGACACGTCATAAGTCCGACGCCTCATAAGTCCGACAATGGACAAACACTGTTTCGGACTTATGAGGCATTGGAGCTATGAGGCGTCGGACTTATGCGGCGTCGGACCTACGAGGCAGAATTTATGCCTCATAAGTCTGAAGCTTCATCAGTCCGAAGCCTCATCAGTCCGAAATTTTGGACTTATGAGGCATCGGACCAATGAGGCATTGGACTTATGAGCGGACCCCCTGTCATCGACCAAAAAAGGTACCGTTGACCAAAAACAGTGGCATCTGAGTATATTATACTCAGATGCTACTGCATTGTTGCCTTCGTTTCTGAAAATCAAAGCCCCACAACTTTACGATAAAGCTAACATCACAGTTATGTGTGTATGTGTGTAGATTTTCTTTCCTCTTTTTTTCTGAATATTCAAACCAGCCAACAGCTATTCCAAAATTCAGTTTATGATAAAATATTCGAATATTTTGGTGTATTTGGGACAGCCCTATTTGAAAACATGTCGACTTTCTCAGTGGTACAAATCCAAAGTGGTACAAAAAACTTGATGGAAATTAAAATTTCTATCTAAAACCAAAATGACTTACATGTAAGAACTTTGCAAAGATGACTAAATGCTTGAAACAAAAAAGTGTGCTGTGGTTGATGGCCTTCAGCAGACATAATGTAAAAAGAAAGGCATGAATAATTGTTTCTTGATAAAACAGTGTAAATAAATTAAATTTTCAGAAGCTATTTTTGGATGGTATATGGAAATATGATTGTTATAGTACACCATCAGATTGTATGAATAAGTGTATGGAATAGTTTACAGTTGACATTGAGTGGACACCATTTGCAAAAAAATGATTTTCAAGGGATAAAATACGATAAATCTGAAGCATATTATTGAAAACTAACCTGTCAAAATTTCAGATCAGTAGCTATGGCCAAAAAAAAAAAGTCTCCGGTTTCTGGTATGCGCGCGCGTCGCCGTAGCCATGCGTGTCGGCAAAATGAAAAAGGGCTTTTTTCAATGAAAGATGATGTCTCAAAACCGCCAAACTCACTGGTTTGACTGGAATCCTGCTGCTGCACAATTTTAACGTGTTCTTAGATTGGGTTATGGTCGAGAATAAGCATTATGTGGCCTCTCTGGACTCCCATATATTTGCACTAAGTTTAGTCGGGCACCATTTGCAGTCATCAGCCGACATTTGAAGCAAAAAAATCAGGTTAAAAAAAAAAACAAAGCCGCGTCGCCGCACCACTTTTTGGGTAAGCTCCATACCAGAAACCGGAGACATTTTTTTTTTGGCCTATAGTATACATTTTGAGAAAATTGTGAAAATGCTATATGTTGCTAGACGCAAAGGATTACAGTAAGTTTCTGTTTAAAGGGTGATGGTTTGTCCATCGCGAGGAATTGATAGAAATTTGTCTTTTCTTAAAGATGACAGCATTCGGACAGGACGCTTGATCTCATTAATTACTGACAACCAAGTAGCATATATCATGATATTTTGACAGTCTCACAATGTCTCATTTTTGAATGTTTTCAAATTGTGTCCATTACGTCTTAGGGTTTGGGAGTGTTTACAAATTTTTTTAAATATGCGTACAAATAAATACATTTGTATTTATTTGTACACATATATACCTTTTTTGTTCAGAGTGTATATACAAAGTTTAAAATATCCTATATATATATGAATTAAGCGTTAAATAGACCTTATTTTTGTGACATCATATTGAGTTGTGTTCGGCGTAAGCCAGCGCACATTTCCTCATTATTAATGTACAATGTAGGCGCTTGCCCATATCTGGACTTGTTAAACAAAAATCATTACATTATTTCAGAAGAAAATCACCAACGTGCTGCAAAAGAGCTGTATTTCAACAGTTAATAGCAACTTTTGCCCATCATATCCAAAGAACAAGTCCCCTTATAAACTACCACGTCTTAAGGTACAACGGTTTTAGCGTTAGACCGTTTAACTTATGAACTGAAAATAATACATGTCAGTGCTGAACTGAACCAAGAAATGTGAATACTGGTATCCTTGTGTTTATTTTCATTTAATGAATATGTTTTTAATTTGAATGTAAGGGGTTAGCCCTGCATTTTTATCAAAATTGAGCAAAATTTGACCTTTCCTGGAAATTTACAAATGTAAAGGGTTAGCCTTGCATTTTGATCAAAATTTTGCAAAATTAGAATTTTTCTGTAAATTATGAAATGTAAGGGGTTAGCCTTGTATTTTAATCAAAATTGAGCAAAATTTGAATTTTTCTGAAAATTATGAAATGTAAGGGGTACGCCTTGCATTTTTATCAAAATTGAGCAAAATTTGACTTTTCCTGGAAATTTACAAAGGTTAGGGGTTAGCCTTGCATTTTTATCAAAATTGAGCAAAATTTGAATTTTTCTTGAAATTATCAAATGTAAGGGGTTAGCCTTGCATTTTTATCAAAATTGAGCAAAATTTGACTTTTCCTGGAAATTTACAAAGGTGAGGGGTTAGCCTTGCATTTTTATCAAAATTGAGCAAAATTTGACTTTTCCTGGAAATTTACAAAGGTAAGGGATTAGTCTTGCAATTTTATCAAAATTGAGCAAAATTTGATTTTTCCTGGAAATTTACAAATGTAAGGGGTTAGCCTTGCATTTTTATCAAAATTGAGCAAAATTTGAATTTTTCTTGAAATTATCAAATGTAAGGGGTTAGTCTTGCAATTTTATCAAAATTGAGCAAAATTTGACTTTTCCTGGAAATTTAGAAATGTAAGGGGTTAGCCTTGCATTTTCATCAAAATTGAGCAAAATTTGACTTTTTCTTGAAATTATCCAATGTAAGAGGTTAGCCTTGCATTTTTATCAAAATTGAGCAAAATCTGACTTTTTCTTGAAATTATCAAATGTAAGGGGTTAGCCTTGCATTTTTATCAAAATTGAGCAAAATTTGACTTTTCCTGGAAATTTACAAAGGTAAGGGGTTAGCCTTGCATTTTTATCAAAATTGAGAAAAATTTGACTTTTTCTGGAAATTTAGAAATGTAAGGGGTTAGCCTTGCATTTTCATCAAAATTGAGCAAAATTTGACTTTTTCTTGAAATTATCCAATGTAAGGGGTTAGCCTTGCAATTTTATCAAACTTCAGCAAAATTTGACTTTTCCTGGAAATTTACAAATGTAAGGGGTTAGCCTTGCATTTTTATCAAAATTGAGCAAAATTTAAATTTTTCTTGAAATTATCAAATGTAAGGGGTTAGCCTTGCAATTTTATCAAAATTGAGCAAAATTTGATTTTTCCTGGAAATTTAGAAATGTAAGGGGTTAGCCTTGCATTTTCATCAAAATTGAGCAAAATTTGACTTTTTCTTGAAATTATCAAATGTAAGGGGTTAGCCTTGCAATTTTATCAAAATTGAGCAAAATTTGAATTTTCCTGGAAATTTAAAAATGTAAGGGGTTAGCCTTGCATTTTTATCAAAATTGATCAAAATTTCACTTTTTCTGGAAATTTACAAATGTAAGGGGTTAGCCTTGCATTTTCATCAAAATTGAGCAAAATTTGACTTTTTCTTGAAATTATCAAATGTAAGGGGTTAGCCTTGCAATTTTATCAAAATTGAGCAAAATTTGAATTTTCCTGGAAATTTAAAAATGTAAGGGGTTAGCCTTGCATTTTTATCAAAATTGATCAAAATTTCACTTTTTCTGGAAATTTACAAATGTAAGGGGTTAGCCTTGCATTTTTATCAAAATTGAGCAAAATTTAAATTTTTCTTGAAATTATCAAATGTAAGGGGTTAGCCTTGCAATTTTATCAAAATTGAGCAAAATTTGATTTTTCCTGGAAATTTACAAATGTAAGGGGTTAGCCTTGCATTTTCATCAAAATTGAGCAAAATTTGACTTTTTCTTGAAATTATCAAATGTAAAGGGTTAGCCTTGCATTTTTATCAAAATTGAGCAAAATTTGAATTTTCCTGGAAATTTACAAACGTAAGGGGTTAGTCTTGCATTTTTATCAAAATTGAGCAAAATTTGACTTTTCCTGGAAATTTACAAACGTAAGGGGTTAGCCTTGCATTTTTATCAAAATTGAGCAAAATTTGACTTTTTCTTGAAATTATCAAATGTAAGGGGTAAGCCTTGCAATTTTATCAAAATTGAGCAAAATTTGATTTTTCCTGGAAATTTACAAATATAAGGGGTTAGCCTTGCAATTTTATCAAAATTGAGCAAAATTAGATTTTTCCTGGAAATTCACAAATGTAAGGGGTTAGCCTTGCATTTTAATCAAAATTTAGCAAAATTTCACTTTTTCTGGAAATTATCAAATGT